ATTATAACCTGAGCCGGCAGGTGCTCAACCACTGATTCACCCAGGTGCCCCATAAGCCTAACTTTTAAAATTGATTTTTATTGATAATCTGAATATTCGTTATCAATTGAAGAATTAAATTTCCTAAAAGTTTTAAACTCTAATTGCAAATTTAACATGACTTTTTTGTAAACACTTCAGTCAGCTTGAATAGCATTTGAAACCTACACAAATGCAATGATTAAAAAAATACAAAAAAACAAAAAAACAAATGCAATGATTACAGATATATTCATGGTTACATTTAAGCCTATTCTAAAATATGAATACCAGGGTTTATTTCTTCTTTATTTCTACCCTTACATTTTTCCTTTTTTAAGGTGTTACACTTCTCTTGATATATTACTACAATTTCAGTAATTTTATTATTTTTACATTTTCTTAGGATCTAAATAATCTCACCCAATTGAGAGGAAAAGAGAAATATCATCTTGGAAAAGCTGAGGTAACAGAGTATGGGTTATCAATAATTGGTTCTTTGGGGCCTTGTAGGACCTAGTTCAATCTTAACCATGAGACATTGACTAAAATCCTTTTAATAATAATGTTTTGTTTGTTATTTCATGTCATTTCTGGTTATCTGTCATGGAGTGTTAATTTTTTGGTTAACTTGTCTTTAACAAGTATAAACATTTCTTAATTTTTGCGTGTTGGTATTACCTATTATCCCATATTTTTGCTATACTTACTAGTTTGTTAGTACTATTAAAGTTTATTGTTTATTTGTATTTTATTATAATTAGTAGGACTTTCTAAATAATTCATTTCCTAGAAGATTAGACATTGAGTCTTCCTAGGTAGTTCTCTTCTTTTCACTATAATTTTAGCCATCCTGCAAAACCTTGTTGGACCTATTTCTGCCTGATTATTATTATGTTTGACCATCGGTGCTACTCTGTTTTACTAGATATACATGGATGATGGTCTATGTGTGAATTAGGAAAAAAGTTGGCCTCTTTAAGAAAATGTGAGTTGTGGCCACAAGGCAACTGGATGGCTACTGTTTATGAATTAGAAAGAAGCACTTCCTATGGATTAATATATCCCCAGCATCAGTTTGTATGGTTTGGAAACAGCTCAAACAGCTTACAACTATATGCAGTACCCATTGGTGTGGTACCTTTTTTCTGGAAACACATATGGTTTACTCATTGTTTCTCATGCATTCTTTCCTGCTTACCCTCCAATAGAAATAAATACATTATCTATATTTTATAAGCATTGACTTAAAATGAAAAAAGCCCATAAAAATAAATTTATAAAAATAAAGAATTAAAATTAAAATTAAAAAAAGAAAATTTAAAAAAAGAAAAAAATGCCCATGAACATTTGAGAATTTCCTATATAAAAACAGGAAAATTTCAATATCCTATGGCATTTGCTCTTTTTTGGTTGTAATTACATTTTAAAAGAATTTGAGATACTATTGTGTACTCATGGCCCTTTACAGATTAAATCAGTTTCAATTAATCATAATATATGTGTCAAAAAGTCACAGTTTGGTAGCAAGAGCCCCTGAAAGTTGACTTTCCATCCTGTTAATACTGGCACTGACATTCTTGAAAGCTTTTTTGTTTGTAGCAAAAGGATTTATTTATTAGATGTATCTGATTTTTTTCCTTTCCCAAAACATGTATCAACTACTCTCCTTATAAGTTCTTTTAGTAGAGACCAAAGTCTGGGCACAGAAATGCTTTTGGAAATTGATGGCATGCAAAAGTGTTACTTCTGTTGCTGCTGCTGTTGGGCCATTATTGTGTATGTCTGTGTGTAAAAGAGAGAACAAACATAAACATACACACACGGGAAAATATATTTCTTTTTTAAAGATTTTATTTATTTATTCATGAGATACACAGAGAAAAGCAGAGACATAGGCAGAGGGAGAAGCAGGCTCCCTGCAGCGAGGCAGATGCTCAACCACCAAGCCACCCAGGCGCCACTGGAAAATACATTTCTAAGGTTATTATGTCTCTCCACTTTTTCCAACTGATTATGTTGTTGTACCTGTCTTGCTTATTAATTGATTTCATCAATCACTAACACTTTTACCTATATTAACACTTGGAATGGATGGGAGCGTGAAAGTCAGTATACTCACCCACAAATATGAGTTTAAATATTTTTCCTAAGCAAATGCAAAAGTCTCCAGCCTCCGTTTTAAAAGCACACTTAAGAAACAAGTTACCAAGCATTTGGTTGCCACGCGATAGCCCGTTCCCCAAGTCTCTACTCTTAGGTTACATGTTTTTAAATCTTAGGTCAAGCAACTCCTATGGGGAACACTTCTAATTTCTATTATTTGGGTTAGGTTTTCCTTCTCTATTCTGTCCTAGTATAGTGTCTAGCACTCATTATACTGTACTATAATTTTTTCTTTACTTGTCTGTCTTCCTCTGTTAAGCTATGATATTCTCTCGAGTTGTGTCTTACTGATCTGCCAGACCTATTACATATGCTTGAAACACAGTAGATGACCAATACCTATATAGTAAATGCTTTAATGAGGCGCAAAGAAATAAAATACACAATGATATCCTGGTTTTACTACCCAGTCTCTAAAGATTGGATTGTGTTCCCTGGTGAAAATAAAAGAGAAATTTTGTAACACCAGAGCTCCCATTATTGGGATAAGGGACTACTGAGAACCAAAATGATACCAGACTCTCTGGAATCGTCATAATAAGCTGATTATTTCAGGCTAGTCCTCTGCTTTACTCAGGTCAGTGCTCCACTGGGAAAGGGCATCCATTAATCCTCTCCCTATGGAAAGGTAGAAGCAACATTTCTATTCGAAAAGGTTTCTTGAGTCTTAAAAGATTTTAGCCAAACGAAGGCAAATGAGAGTAGGTCATCCAGGTAGAAGTGCCAACCTGAGCAAGAAAACAGACAAATAATGGGAGCAGAGTGTGAAAATCCCGGAAATTCAGTGTTTCTAGGATGTAAAGTATGGAGCAAGGAAGCTGAAGTGATAAATTAGTTTGGAAAGGTAAAAGGAAGTAGTATTCTGGAGGGCCTTTTATGCTGCATTAAGTCATATTCTATTTTGTAGTAGAGAAACAGAAGAGGGACGCCTGGGTGGCTCAGAGGTTGAGCCTCTGCCTTCAGCTAAGGGCATGATCCAGGAGACCCGGGATCGAGTCCCACATGGGGCTCCCTGCGTGGAGCCTGCTTCTCCCTCTGCCTGTGTCTCTGCCTTTCTCTCTGTGTGTGTGTCTCTCATGAATAAAAAAAAGAAACAGAAGAGATCAGAATAGTGAATAAAAACGTGCTCTGCAGACAAGCTGCCTAGATTTGAACTCAGTTCTGCTTTCTACTCACTGTGTGACCTAGGGTTTTTGTTCCTTACATTTCCTTTGTAAAGGGAGAATAATTAGAGTACCTATTTCATAGGGTTGTTTTGAGTATTAGTGAGTTATATTATATATAGTGCTTAGAACATTCAATAAGTATTAAGTTGATGGTGTTGTTTTCTAAAATATTTTATTTATTTATTCATGAGAGACACAGAAAGAGAGAGAGAGAGAGAGGCAGAGACATAAGCAGAGGGAGAAGCAGACTCCTCGCAGGGAGCCCAATGTGGGACTTGATCCTAGGACTCTGGGATCATGCCCTGAGCCAAAGGCAGATGCTCAACCACTGAGCCATCCAGGTGTCCCAGTTGATTGTGTTTTTATTAAACTTTACATATATACATACATGTGTATGTATATATGCACATATATATATTAGACATATATATATATATTTACTATATATCATCACTCTGGCAGAATGGAGGATTCTTTTGAATAGAATAGGACAAGAGAGTGGGAAAACAATAGGGGAATTAGTATGTCCCTCCAGTAGCTTTTGTTGACATTTGTTGGATATTTTTGAGGTATATTCTTGTGTTATGGTTTTAACAAAATCACATACTTTATAGATGGATTTTGTGCAGACTCAAGTGATATCTTTCTATTTTCCATTTTCCTAAGAATTGCTTTGGGATTAACTTACTGGAGAGCCAAACCCTGGAGTTTTCAGAACTTGCACATCATAGCTTTTTTGGTCCTACTGTCTTCACAGTATAATTCAAACCTCAGTTCCCGAGAAGGTGACCTGGAGAGAGTGAGGCCAGCTGTTTTCAGAGTAGGGTTGAAAATAACAGCACGATTGAGTTCTAGCATGGAACTGAGACTAATGGTGATTATCTTCTAATGGTTAACCACTTTACTCTAAAATATGGGTTACATATATTGCTGCCTCATTTGTAAAGTATGTTGAATGTGATCAAGAAGCAGTAGGTATAATGAAAGGATTAGAAAACTTGGACTGTGGATCTAGCTATATTACTTAGATATGTAGTCTTAAATATCCTGTAGATCTCAGTTTCCTTGTCTGTAACATGGGGTTAATGATACCCTCTATATTATCTTGCAGGGCTGTCATGAGAATCAATTGAGATCATCTATGTGAAAGCTCTTGGCAAAAGGCACTTAAAAGTGGAATGATTTTTTAAATCATTTAAGAACAACTCAGAAATATAATATGATCTGTACCCCTGTTTGTTCCCTAATTAAATGAACCTAGAAAGAGTTGAAAGATATGCCCATCAACTTGTTATGCAAATCACCTTAGTTGGCACATAATTCAAAACATGTAGATCCTTGTGCAGGGACTCCCTGCTTCCAACAGAAGTTCGGGAATTCTACTTTGAACTTTTTTCCTACTAAAAAGCTTGTTTTAGTTACTTTTCTGCTTTGAGTTCTGTTGTAGAACACTGAGACTTCTCCAAGTTCGACCACCAATCAATGAGGTATCCATATGCCTTTTTTTCTAGTACTTCTAACAGGCCTCCTGATAAGGCCCCCAGATGAGATATAAGGAATCAAAAACAGTGCCCCAACAACGGCTTTGAAAAGTACCTCAGAGATTTCTGTCCCTTTAGAAATCTCTCTCTACCTACCTCTCTATTAAAGATGGACATAAAACTAAAAAATCCTGATTGCTGGTACAGTCTCCATGGCCAGGTCCCAGGGCTGCTGGACTGGGACATGGGGAATGAATTTTTCTTGCCCTGCACCACAGACCAATGTCACTTAACTGAGCAGAACCTTGCCCAATATAGACTCCGAGTAATGGAGCCCCCAAAGGTGCCTCAAGAGAGGAGAACCAGTCCAGACAAAGATGGTCCTGACTCTGAACCTAACCTGTGGATGTGGGTAAATCCCAACATCATGTGCCCCCTTGGCAGCCAGGAGACCTTAAATCCCAGTAAAGAAAAGGATCTGACAAGCATGCTTCCTTACCCTCAGCCACTCCCAAAGAATGAGTCTAACTGCTCAAAGGCCACAGTGATGGAATCCCTGACAGCTTCCTCCAGCAAGAAATCTTCCCCACAGAAGCGGTTCATCTATCCTCCCAGTGACTGGGAGCTCACAAAAGAAGAAACCGAGGAACAAGAGAACAACTGCTCTGTGTCCCTCCAATCCCCTAACAAAAGGGAGTGCTTCCAGAACCAGAAGCTATGGCAAGGCAACAGCCAGGAGAGGAAGTCCTGGCCCCGGCCTCCGCTCAATTACAGTCACCTAATTGCCCTGGCATTAAGAAACAGCCCACCTTGTGGCCTTAATGTGCAAGAGATCTACAATTTCACCCGGCAGCATTTCCCCTTTTTTTGGACAGCTCCAAATGGCTGGAAAAACACCATCCGCCACAATCTCTGTTTCCTGGGCAGCTTTGAGAAGGCACCAGTCAATCTTCAGAATGGGACCCATGTAAAGCCACGGTCTGGCCTCTGGAGGCTTACTGAAGAGGGACACCGCCGCTTTCAGGAGGAGACTCGTGCCTTAGCCTCTGCTCGGAGGGAGAGCATCCAACAGTGCATGAGCCAACCAGATGTGATGACTTCCCTCTTTGGCCTTTGAAGTGCCATTTCTCCCTCTTTGGAACATTGCCCTCCTTACTGGGCCCACCTTTGCCCGGATTGGCCTTCATTAATCCCTCAGCCTGCCCTGCCTGGTAGGTGACAAGACTACATTTAGCTACAGCTACAAGAATAGTATTAAATAAACTGAGAGGTTGATACAGAGGAGGTAGAGCTTAAATCCAGGTAGAGATTCATGGAAAGTTGCATGAGAACAGTGGTAGTTGTTATGCATTTTAAGCAGAGGCAAGAAATCTTAGTAATAATAGCATGGAAGTTAAGGAGAGAGGACATATTTTACAAGAAAAGGAATTCTGTTTACTGGAGTGTATATTCACATATGAAAGCAAATGGTGGAGTACAAAACATAAAATGCAAGACTGAACCAGGCCTTGAAGAGCCTCAAATGCCATGTGAAGGTATATATGCATAAAGAACTAGGCATGATGTTTGAAGCCTGGAGGTTCAAGTATCTCCCTTCTACCATTTATCAGATATATCTCTTTTTTTAATGACCAATGTTACCCCTTAGGGCTTCACTTTTCTTTTTCTGATCCTGGACTTCTCAGCCTTGTTCAGTTGCCAACCAATTCCAGTACTGACAAATAATTCCAAGCAGTTACTTGTAGTTTGTATATTGAAAGCCCTTGAATTAAGTTTGTATCAACCCCAAGCTTTCTGATGACAAATCTTTGCTTTCCATGCTCTCATTTATCAAAACTTTATTGAGGAAATGCCAATGTGCATAAGGTCAATCTTAGGTGCTAATGATAAAAAGTCAATAGTTTAGTTGGAGACAGACATATAACTGCATATTTGTAATAACAAATGTAATGAAACAGATATGTAAGGTTGCCATGGGAAAGGGGAGACATTTTTCCTGGGAAAGGCATTGAAAAGGAAATACCTTTTAAGTTAGTTTTGAAGAATAAATAGGGATTTGCTAGGCATGTAACTGAAGAAAGGAGATTACAGAGGTAACTGTATAAACAAAGTAATTGCAGTGGTTGGAGGAGTGGTAGGAATTTCAGTGCAGTTTAGCTATATTAGGGCCAAGAGTGGCAAGAAATGTAGGCAAAAGGCTTTTCTAATACTACTTAGGTGTTTGGGGATCCCTGGGTGGCGCAGCGGTTTGGCGCCTGCCTTTGGCCCAGGGCGCGATTCTGGCGACCCAGGATCGGGTCCCACGTCGGGCTCCCGGTGCATGGAGCCTGCTTCTCCCTCTGCCTGTGTCTCTGCCTCTCTCTCTCTCTCTCTCTCTCTCTCTCTCTCTCTCTCTCTCTCTGTGACTATCATAAATAAATTTAAAAAATTTTTAAAAAAAGGTGTTTGGATCTTATCCTGTGGTCTATTGTGACCCAAAAGGTATCAGTGGTGTTTTACTAAAAAAAAAAAAAAAAAAAAAAAAAAACAAGCAACAATGAACATTTAAGCATTTGGTTTTCTAATTTCAAAATTCTCTTAACACTTTCTATACAAATAAACTTTATTTTATTAGATTTAATCATACTTTTGTGCCTTTCATGTTAACATATTAAGATATATCCAGAATAAAATATATTAGATTATTAGGGATATATTTAATTGCAAAGGCTTCAATAATGAGGGTACAAAAATACCTTACAAAATGCAAAAGCTATGAACTCAATATATTGTAAATCAATTGAAAAGTTTACATTTTTGGTTATTGTATATTACACCATGTACAAAACTGTATATTTAAGTTGAATTCTGAAAGGAACATTCAAAGAATATTATTCAAAAAAGTAATTGTAGATACTACTTCTGTACCAAAGGGAAAAAAAGTTGACATCATACCTTGGAGTTAATAAAATATTCTGGCTATAAGCACTCAGTGTTTGGTTTTCACGTTTTTCACAAATAACACTTTAAGCAAAAGAGCATGTTGTGAAATCCAGAAGACTTTTTGTCACAAACTACATGTTCTAGTGTATACAGTAAACCTATTCTGCAAATTTTGCACAGTTCAGACTTTCTATTTTTGTTTTTATTTAAATTCCAGTTAGTGAACATACAGTTTAATATTAGTTTCAGCTGTACAATATACTGATTCAACATTTTCATGCATCATCCAGTGCTCATAACAAGTGCACACCTTAATCCCCATTACCTGTTTAACCCATCCCCCCCCATCCACCTCCCCTCTGGTAACCACTAGTATGTTCTGTATAGCTAAGAGTATGTTTCTTGGTTTTTCTCTTTTTTCCCCTTTGCTCATTTGTTTTGTTTCTAAAATTCCACAAACTAGTGAGATCATATGGTATTTGGCTTTCTCTGACTGACATTTTGTTTATCATAATACTCTCTAGCTCCATTCATGTCCTGTCAAATGGCAAGATTTCATTCTTTTCTATGACTGAATAATATTCCATTGTATATATATACCATCTCTTCACTATCCATTCAACAGTCAATGGACATGAGTTATTTCTGTAAATTGGCTATTGTAAATAAGGCATCTATAAATATCAGGGTACATGTAATCTTTTGAATAAGTATTTTTGTATCATCTGGGTAAATAGTAATGAAATTGCTTGATTGTAGGGTAGTTCTATTTTTAACATTTTGAGGGCCCTCCATAATGTTTTGCAGAGTGGGTGCACCAGTTTGCGTTCCCTCCAACACTGGAAGAGAGTTGCCCTTTCTCCACATCCTCACCAATATCTGTTGTTTTCTGTGTTGAATAATTTTAGCTATCTCTGACAGGTGTGAGGTGGTATCTTATTGTAGTTTTTATTTGTTTCCCTAATGGTCAGTTAATGTTGAGCATCTTCCCATCCATCTGGTTGTCTTCTTTGGAAAAGTGTCTATTCATGTCTTCTGCCCATTTTTAATTGGATTATTCATTTTTTGGAGGTTGAGTTTGATAAGTTCTTTATATATTTTGAATACTAACCCTTTATCAGATATGTCATTTGCAAATATCATCTCTCATTCCATAGGTTGCCTTTTAGTTTTGTAGATTGTTTCCTTCACTATATAGGAACTTTTTATTTTGATGTAGTCCCTATACTTCATTTTTGCTTTTGTTTCCCTTGCAGAGCCTTATCCAGAAAGAAGTTCCTATGGTTGATATCAGAGATTACTGCCTATGTTTTCCTCTAAGATTTTCAGGGTTTCATGTCACACATTCAGGTCTTTAATACATTTTGAATTTATTTTTGTGTATGGTGTAAGAAAGTGGTCTAGTTTCATTCTTTTGCATGTTGCTGTCCAGTTTTCCTAACACTATTTGTTGAAAATTTTTCCCACTGGATAATCTTTTGTACTTTATCAAAGATTAGCTGATCATAGATGTCTTTTTTATTTTTGTGCAGGTACCATACCATTTTGATTACAACAGTTTTGTAATATAGTTGAAGTCTGGAATTCTGACGCCTCCAGTTTTCTGTTCTTTTTCAAGGTTTCTTTGGCTATTTGAGGTCTTTTGTGATTCCATACGCAAATTTTAGGACTATTTGTTCTAGCTCTCTGAAAACTGCTATTGGGATTTTGACAGGGATTCCTTTAAATGTGTAGATTGCTTTGGACAGTATAGATACTTTAACAATATTTGTTCTTCCAATCCATGAACATGGAATGTCTTTCCATTTCTTTGTGTCATCTTCAAATTCTTCCATCAGTGCTTTTCAAAGTACAGGTCTTCCACTTCTTTTGTTAGCTTTATTCCTAGGTATTTTCTTGTTTGGGGTGTAATTGTAAATAGGATAGATTCCTTAATTTCTCTTGCTTTTTTATTGGTATATAGAAGTGCAACCGATTTCTGTATATAGATTTGTATCCTGAGACCTTACTGAATTCATGTATCAGTTCTAGAAATTTTTTGGTAGAGTCATTCAGGTTTTCAATATAGTCTATCATGATCTGCAAATAGTAAAAGTTTTACATCTTCAGTGCTGACTTAGATGTCTTTTGTTGTTGTTGTTGTTGTCGTCTGATTGCTAGGCTAGGACTTCCAGTACTATGTTAAAGAATAGTGGTGAGAGTGGACATGACCTTTATATCCACTCTCATATGGTCCTGACCATAGAGAAAAACTCTCAGGTTTTCTCCATTAAGGATGATATTAGCTATGAGTTTTTCATGGTGTTTTGTTGTTTACATATTTATATGAATTTACCCATTTCTTCCAGGCTGTCCCAATTTGTTGGCATATAGTTATTCATAATATTCTCTCATAATTGTTTGTGTTTCTGTGGTGGTGTTATTTCTCCTCTTTCATTTGTGATTTTATTATTTGGGTCCTTTTGTCTTTTAGAAAAACCTGCCTAGAGGTTTACAATTTTTTTTCCAAAGAACCAGCTCCTGGTTCATTGATCTCTTCTATTGTTTTTTTTTTTATGTTTCTGTATCATTTATTTCTTCTCTAATCATTACCATTTCCTTCCTTCTACTGGCTTTCAGCTTCATTTGTCATTCTTTTCCTACCTCCTTAGGTTTAAGATTGGTGGTTTATTTGAGATTTTTCTTACTTCTTCAGGTAGGCCTATATTGCCACATACTTCTCTCTTAGGATCACTTTTCCTGCATTCCAGGGGGTTTGGACCATTGTGTTTTCATTTTCATTTGTTTCCATGTAATTTTTTATTTCCTCTCTGATTTTGTGATTGCCTGATTCAGTGTTTAATCACATGTTATTTAACCTACATGTATTTGTGGTTTTCCAGATTTTTTCTTCTGCCTGACTTTCTAGTTTCATAGCATTGTGTTCTGAAAAGTTGCATGGTATGACCTCAATCTTTTTATATTTGTTGAGCCCTGTTTTGTGATCTACCTTGGAGAATGTTCTATGTGCACTTGAAAAGAATTCGCATTCTGCTGTTTTAGGATGGAATGTTCTGAATATATCTGTTAAGTCCATCTGGTCCAGTGTGTCATTCAAAGCCATTGTTTCCTCATTGATTTTCTGTTTAGAGGATATGTCCATTCATGTGAGTGAGTGGTAAAGTCCCCTAATATTATAGCATAATTATTGATTAA